AAACATGGCAAGGTTTTCACTCAAGAAACCTAACAAAATTCTTTGCGGAAAGACTAACTATTACTGCCATTCCTAAAACCGTGTCGACTCGCGTGGCAGTGAAGTGCCTGATCTTATCTACAGTTTTGTAGCCCGATCACACGTGCAAACTCTGCTTGATTTATCATGCTCCATTTCAAGTTCCTTGTCTCTTTGCTAAATGTTATACTCAAAATTTCGCCGTTACAACGATCTGAACAGAAGGGTAAAAATGAAATAAATCCAAAAGATATCACACAATATCAAAACGTGTTACATATTTCATCTTGTTGCCACAGAGTCTAGCATTTGCATAACTTCGTGTAAGAGATAAATGCTTCTTTTGGTTGTAAATTTAGAGAATCTTCGGTGACTCACTTTTTAAGCGATTTCATCTGTTTTGCCGAAAATCAAAAATAAAAAAGTACTGACCAGTACATGTTCCATTCATGTGGGCAAGTAAAGGCTTGCATGACATCTAAACAATACACTTTTTGAAAACAAGGTTACATTTCATTTTGACTGTTGGAAGATTTTCACGGCGTGAAACTAAATTTCACGGTGACTGAAATTTTTCATGGCGATTATAAACTTTTTCACTGCGTGAAATTTTCACGGCGTTTTCACGGCGTGAAAGAGAAATTTCACTCACATTCCAAAAATTTTTCTTACTTTCACGGCCTGGATCGTGAAAATAGGAATAGCATGAAATTTAGATAAGCCCCAAAGTCTCGTGAAGGGTCACATATACTTCTTCAACAGAAAGGAATTTGTATGTTTTCTTTCTGAAGATATTAACAAGTTTGCATAGTTGAAGCACTGTATCTTTGCCCTTTCCTGTCATCTTTCCCACTAAATAAGTATTGGTACCTACCATGTTTATCGTTTTTTGTAAGGAAATAGAGGAGAGGGAGGTTCATGCCAGTTTCCTGTTTGTAGGATACCACAGTAAATCCCTCGGTTGTAATCTTGGGATGTTGCGGAAGGCTGACTTGATGTCCAACTTGGACATGAGCTACCCTTGAAAAATGTTCTGATGGATAGAGATGGCAGTATCTATTGTAATGTAGGGTAAGGAGTAGTCGGTTGGGCTAATGTGGGAATTATCGCAAGTGGTTTCATGTTTGCGAAAGGAAAGATGAAAAATGGTTCTCCACTATGTGGAGTGCTTTTTTGGAACAACCCCAATGGGATAAACCTGAAAATTGGGAAAAGGGGGAGAAATGAATGGGCCAGCAGTATGACCAAGCTGTAACTCTTTCAGGAGATTGGTGCTTATGATATGAGGATTTTGCCTAACAGAAATGAGGTTGGGGTATTCCTTAGAAACCCGAGGACCCTGGAAAGCAATTTTAGAACCCTGGGAGAGGCCAGTGAGGACAGCATTGTCGTGAATAGCTTAAAGATCTCAACCAAACAGACGCATGAGAACTGTCCCAATCCTGTTTAAGTACACAACAACCCTTTTCTCCCAAGCTAGGGTTCCTAAGTCTAAAATTACATGAGATTACAAAGTAAACTAAACAGCCATCAGTTAACAGATCTTGACAATTCCACTCGAATTTCTTTTAGTCATGCAAGCATCACACAAACACCTAAGTTCTCCACAGAATCAACAGATGCACGGTCCGGGTGATCATGCAAATAAAGGGCAAGTTAAGGAAGGTCAATACGGGTGGTAGGGGACAGCTTAGAAAGGTATTCAATTGCGGCTTTGGGTGGAATGTCTTGAGCGGCTAGTCTGGGAGGGTCCAGAGCTTGAGGAGTCAGGGTGGTCCTTTCCTGGGTAGGCTGCAGTGCATCCAGGCTTGTTGCATTGGTGAGTGTAGTGGCAGGGAGTGTGGGCACAGGGAACCCCTTTGTTGAAGTTGAAGCAGAGGTCACCACATTTGGGGCCTTAAGAGTCTGTAGTCCTGGGATAAAGGGGGAATCGCTTACATGATCCGAGCTGCTGCAGGCCTTACAAAGTATGGCTTTTGGGATGCTAGTAAAGGTGTCTAGGTACAACTGAACATCCCCTTGACCCCAGTTAATGGAAAGGTTGTGAGAGGCCCTTCGGCGAAATTCCATATCATACAAATACCATGCCATACTGCAGAACTTACTGGCTGACTCACTTATCAGTTGCTGGTAGGCGAGGAGGTCCACCCCCCGGGAGGTAAGAGGAGAGGAGTACAGACGAGTAAGTGGAAAAAGCATTGAGCTATCGGTCAATCCCAGTAATTTTGGGGCACTTAGCCTGGGATGGGAGGGGTATAGTAAGGCCCTCGTTTCCTACTTGTAGTTTAAGCTTGGAATTAGCGGTAACATGGTCTCGTAGTAGATTCATTTGAAAGATACATTGGTGCATCATAATTGCCCCTACTTTCCTGCAGAGCAAGAAATTTATTCCCTTCTAGGGCCCTATAGTATAGTTCCCCAAACTGAACGGCAGGGAAACTAGAAACCATCAACCCTATAACTTGTGCCACTTCTCTAATAATCATTTTACTTTTGTCCAGTAAACTCTGGCAAGCTAGCAGTACACGTTCCACTTTAGCGGGTGGGAGTCGGATTGTCATGTTTATACTATTCAGCAAGAAGCCAAGAAATTCCATTTTTTGTGTTGGAATCAGGACTGACTTTTCTGGGTGAACCACAAACCCCAGACTAAGGAAGGTATCAACAGTGTCCTGTATATTAGTGGTACAGGCAGTATAATTATATCCCAAGAGAAATGAATCATCTATGTGCCCCATACAGATATTAACCAAAGATCTGAGATGAAAGTGGACTGGTTTTAATATTTTTGTGAATAGGCGAGGAGCACAAGCCTGGCCATTGGGCAAACAGGTATATTGAAAATAGCTACCTTGCCACTCAAATTTCAAATATTTCCTATCCTCTAATGCAATAGGAACAGAATAATGGGCGTCCTTAAGGTCTACCGATGCCTTCAAGCACCGGGGACGCATGAGTTTGAGGGCTGTCTGAATCGTATCCATTTTAAAATGGTAATAGGATACAAATTCGTTGAGTTGTTTAAAATTTAAAATCATTCTAAAAGTGCCATCTTTCTTGGGACGCACAAAAATGGTAGAGATAAAGTCACCCGGACACGGTCTATTTGTTCAATAACTCCTTTATCGAGGAGCTTGTTGATTTCCTCAGTAATGATCTCCCTTTCAGAAGGAGAAAATGGCATTTGTTTTGGCTGGTAAGCCTGAGAAGGAGAAACATCCCCAAACTCGATGTGATACAGTAGTGCTTTATAGCATCTAATATGACAGGGTCAGTAGTCAGTGACTTCCAACCTTCAACATGGTCTTGTAACCCTCCAGCCGAGAAATTAGCAACCCTTTGAGACAGATTTGCTTTATCAATAGGAGTTGGTTAGTTTTCTCTTACCTGTGTTTCTACGGGGTTTTGTTGGTGGGTTGACTTGGCTTTTTCTGGGCACTCTTCTGTGCCCGGCTGTAGCCTAAAAAAGGACACTGCTGAGAAGTTTTCTGACTGGATGGTCTGTTCGTCAATGTTTTTCTAGAGATGGAAAACTGTAGGTTAATGAAATGTTTTCCTTGTGTTACTGTTAACAAATACAGTGGGAAAATGTCACACAAACTGCGTGTTTACTGGTCTGGAAAATACAGGTAAACACCATGGAAAATATGGTGTTGGCCTAAGATTTTCAAGTGCAGGAAAACACTAAGTAAACTCTCAATTTTCCTCGGATTCATACCAGGAAAATTCGTAAGTTGCGGGATGTGTTCAGAAGAGGGAAAACAGTTGGTGAATGCCAAATTTTCTAGGATTTGCTGTCGTGTAAAATTATTGGTGAACAAGGGTTTCCTTGCTGTATTAGCATTTTATTTTTGTACGACTCAACCCAGTGTTACAAAAAAAGGATAACGCTCGTCCAACTGCAGTTTGTAGTTCGTCGTCGCCGTATCTTAACGTCCCTAACACCTTCTTGCAGGTGGGCGACAATTCGTTATTAATGACTTTTAATAAGTCACTTCACTTCTTTAACTTTTTTCAATACTTGATATCATTATTTGCAACTACGGAGGTCTGAAGAACAAAGTTAGTCAAGCTTAAATTTGTTGATCATCTCAGTCAAAATGAGATACAATTTTGAAATTCCCTAGAGAACTTTAGAATTTTTTTTATAGATTATCTGGAATCATTGTAACAAAATCAATAGATGTTGTTTGTTTTTCTCTTTCTTCCTGGTTTAAACACTGGTTACATCGAGACCTACTGTCCAATGTGGTTGCTATGCAGTTAGACAACACAGCAAAAGAAAACAAAAACCAATACGTTTTTTGCTTTATGGGATACCTCGTCAAGACAAAAGTTTTTGACAACGTGACAAATTATTAATTCTAGTTCAACTTTGGCGCCTGTTATTGTAAGCGACATAGACAGAGCCAAGTCCGTGATTCTGGCTATCACTCTTACTGACCGAAATAGTGATTATATACCTGCCTGATCACGAAACATTCCCAATGTCTTGCATGTTAAATTGCTTGTTTTCATGTAATTTGCGTGTACTCCACGTTTTACCATGGAAGCCTTAGAATGGCCTTGATGCAGACAAACAGAAGCTTCTTAAACGAAAACACGGAAAATGTTTAGCCTCCTTTTGTTTGACGAACATTCAAGCTGGATACGTTAAATGTTTACATTTTATTTCACTGCCTAAAGTCTCACAAGGAAAGCATGACGTGGGAGCGTGTGATATATTTTGTTACACGTGGTTGTAGAAACACCTTGTAACAATAAATAAGGCCAGGCATACTTCCTTCCGGGCCTTTAATTGGCTGTTTATTTGAGCTGTAAACATGCAAATCGCACAAGGATTTTTCTTGAGTGTGTTTATGGACAAAGTGGCAGTATCACTACCCTGTCACCACCCCAATAAACCCTGATATGATTGTCCTCTGAAACTGATCCAAACGTCACGAAATGTTTTGTTCCCTTCTGGAAATTCTTTCACAGATATGGATGTTTTGCCTCAGAGTATCACTCTCCTAATCTTCTCTTACTTACCATACGAATTTGTCCAGACTATAGCATCACTAGTGTGTAAAGCTTGGCACCAATTGGCATACGACAAAAACTTGATTAAGTATGCGGGACGTAAAGATTTATCAGAAATTAGCGCCAGAGATTCTTTGAAAGAGACTGTGGATAACTTCCTTCAAGCCGTGAAGTGGAGGCCTCGTATGTTCCACAGCATAGATTTGTGTGGTGCCACGACAACATGGAAAACGTTTGGAGAAATAGCACATAACTGCACTGAACTGAAAATTTTGAACATGGCTAGAACTAAGGGCGAAATTCTTGAATACCCACTGATTCAAGCAACCAACATTGTGGAACTAAACTTAAGCGAGACTCTGATAAATGACCAGTTGTTTGTTTTGATATCTAAAAGCATTCCAAAGTTAGGCATATTGAATGTTTTGAGGTGTTATAACTTGACTAATTTAGCAATTGAAAAATCGTCATTTCCATCCTAGCGCTTTCTTGGAATAGCATATTGTATGTTCAGCATCGAGGCAATAATTTGTGTCATCGACAAGCATGGTATATTTGCCATATGTGTGAGGGGAATCAAACTGCAAAATGAAGACATAAGTCGCCTTATAGAATTCTACCCCGATGTAGCTGATATCGGCATTCCCACTTTATGTGGCTTGCCAGAAGGAACTGTTTCTCAGGAGGCATTACCACAGTTGTGCCCTTATTGCTGCAGTTCGTCTCTTGCCACCATTTTATCAGCTAAAGACGCCAATGATGCTAGCTGGATGGAACTCTAAAATTACATTTATGAAAATAGCCTTTTTCTTATAGTTTAAAGGTTCTTCTGAAAAGTTATTTTGATTCTTTGTAAGGGCAGTTGAATATTTTCAGAAACTGCTACAGCGAATCATAACTGAGTTATTAAATTAATAAACTAAATCTTCCGAAAACGGTAGTGCATTTACATCCGTAGTCTTTTTGTTTCTGGGAATCCATATGTCTGGCGATGTCCACATGTCTTGCATTCAAATTACTACATTTTCATGCAACAAGTCTAGTTATAGGGTACATATCGCGACTCTGTGAAACTCATTGCCAACACGATTTTGCAAATTGCGTGCTATTGATTGAAGAGATAATGACCTCCGTTGTCCGTGTTGACAAGTCAAGTAAATTATACCAATTATAGAAAGTAAGTCCGTGATTTTAATGTTGCGCGTAAGAAGCTTTCCCCTTAAGTGTAATAACGACTCAGCAGTTTTCCTTCTACTCTTGTTGATATTCATAACCCATTTTTATCATGGATTGTCTTTTTTTTGATGACTGTGGCTTGGAGGAGTACAACTACTTATGCTACGAAATAGATCAAGTTCGAAGTGAGTATTTGGCTGCAGAAACTGTGAGAAATGTGGAACAGATAGAAGTTCCTTGAAGCAATGACAACGAAGCATCAGACACAGCTGACGAGACGCCGACTGAGAGTAGCGCAACTTCTATTCCTGGAGGCAACAATGAAGATACCACTTCTGATCAAAATTCCACAGATGACGATTTTATTACCCCTATAAAGTCATTTTTAAAGTAGATGTGATTGTCACTATGGGAAAAGTGAAAGCGCGTGCACCAAATCTTTAGATTTTGACAAGGTGGTCGAGCATCGTATGCAATGTATTAAACTTTCTTCTGTAGAACTTGATCTGGTGATACTGGGAGCATTACAAAGTCATGTGAATTTCTCCAATTCTCTAAAACAATGCCATCGGATGAGTTACTTTTTCCGCGGTGTTGAAGTATGTGAGAAAACATCTCTCTTTGTGTATAAGAGACGTGGAATAGTTCCAAGAAAACGCGGTAACACTTCATGACTGCCTAAAAACGCCCTTAATCATGAAGTCTTGGACCGAACTGTCACATTTATAAAAAACATTGCTACTGACCACGCAGTTGCCCTTCCAGAAGGAGCTGCAAACTTAAATAATTTGAAAGTTCAGCTGCTTCCTTCATCTGAAAGCAAAGCATCTATCTGGTGACAGTGCAGAAAGGTATCGAAAGAGAAACATTTGAACGCAGTAAGCTACAGCAAATTTGTCGCCCTCTGGAACACTTTCACGCCATATATTGTAGAAATGACTCCCGCATCTGATCTTTGCAGTCTCTGCCACCTTAATAATGCTAAAATAAGTCAAAATGTCAAAGTGAGCGAGCACGAGAAATTGAAATGTCTCGGTGATCAAGAAATGCATCTGCAAGAAGCAAAATCAGAGCGGGATTTTATGAAAAGAAACGTTGCTGCATGTAAAGAGGTGTTACAAGACAGCGTAATCAACCTCTTGTCACCCAGGCCCAGTTGTTCATTGAAAGGAACTATACACTATTCAGATGATTATGCTCAACAAGTACACATTCTCTCCAATCCACAACAACCTGGGCCCATTTACTTTAAAACACAGCGGAAATGTGGCCTGTTTGGAATATGCTGTGAGGGAATACCCAGACAAGTCAACTACCTAATTGATGAGGCAGTTGCTACAGGGAAGGGGGCCAAAGCAACAATTAGCTATGTCCATGACTTTTTCAACTTTCACGGGGCTGGAGAAACAGACACATAGATAAATGCAGATAACTGTGGGGGCCAAAGCAACAATTAGCTATGTCCATGACTTTTTCAACTTTCACGGGGCTGGAGAAACAGACACATAGATAAATGCAGATAACTGTGGAGGCCAACGCAAAAATAATTATGTTATCTGGTATTATTGGTGGCGCGTTCTTTGTGGACTTCACAACTCCATTTTATTTTCATTTTTAATTGCAGGGCATACTAAATTTAGTCCTGACTAGTGCTTTGGATTAGTTTAGCAGTCGTTTAGGAGGCGCTACGTTTCTTCCCTTTTTGACCTTATGGAGGCTGTAGACAAGTCAACAGTCAGTGGTGTCAATGTCGCCAAATTGTCTGTTCTTCATGGCGGCACTGTTTTAGTGCCAGTACATGACTGGGCAAAATTTCTTGAAACTTTTAAGAAAATTCCAGGAATAAGCAAGTTTCATCATTTTCGTTTTTCTAAAGATCACCCTGGTGTGGTTTTCTGTAACACTCTTGTAGGTTCACCAAAAATGGAATTAACTATTCTGAAAAGCCCTAATGTAAGACCTCCAAACCAGCTACCCCCAAAAATCATTCCGCTGGGTTTGGAAGACTTGCTGGCACCTGCCCCTTACTGACTTCTGAACAAAAAATGTAATTCAAAGTACATTTAAGTTGCTCTGCACCGCTTGTTTTAATCTTTGCTTATTAATAAAGTTTATCGCATTGGAGACAACTGAACAGGTCTTTCTTTTAGGTTCATGGGTGACAAAATCTTAGAATTACCATTATATATGGCATTAAGAGAGGATGGAGCAGAAAGTGTGTTTTCAACAAAAAACTGATGGGTGAACCTAAATTAAGCACACGACAAGTTCTACGCGCGCAGTACGAAATCGATTGTTGAACGAAAACAAGCAAGCCATGCTTCTTTTGGTCGGGTGGGAAAAATGTTAACACTGTGGCTAAGACCTTTTTTCTCACAACTTGTGAAAAAAAATAAACATTGAATAATAATGAAATGATTGCATTACACGTGTTGGAAGGTTTCAGGTTTCTTTTGACATATGCAAATTTCAGCACAGCCAAAATTTTAAATTCTTATTTACTTGTTCACCCTCCACTGGTTTCTGCTGCTGTCTCAAACATCTTCACTCAATTTTAATTGCACTGAATGCTTGCTTTAAAAATAAAGTTTCAGTGCAAGATATTACAATCGGGTTGTCCAAGGTGTACATATAATGTAATTCAATATTCTGTTCTAAAAATACGCTGGGAAGGCGATGGTGTCCTTCCTGTCACTTCTTTAATGCCATCACTAGCAGCATCCTCACGCGCGTTTGTCTTAGTTGATTTTCTTGCTTACAAGTCTTCATGAAACGAAAAAAACTCGTCTTCCTTTAATCACCACAGCAAAAGGAGAATAGGAAGACTAGCTCGAAGATCTGATACTCTTGACTGATTTTAAAAAACACTGCAACACGGAGTCGTTTCAGTCTGCATTCACAGGACCAGCTTAAAACAAAGTAAGATCAGTTTGAGAGCAAGTTATGATAGATTTTTATTTGATACGTGGGAACAATGTGAAAGGAAAGAAGGACCGCAAACGTTTATTTGTGATAATGCTTTCAATGCCTGCATGTCACTCGTTAGCTGCTTGTTAGTGATTTTTGTGGTTAACGTGGAAAAAGGCACGGACACGAAAGGTGAATGGCCTAAAGTTAATTTTGCATGATGAAAACTAAATTGGCTGCATCTACGTCTTGGAAATTTACAGATGTAGAATATGAAGTAGATTTCTAAAGTTCAATATTTTTTTAGAGCAGTTGCTGCTCGATGAGGACAGTGCATGTTCATTGATTTCGCCGACGTATTCAAGGTTCTTGTGTTCTGTTGGGTTGTCTGCACTTTTGTGAATGTTTTTCAATGCGATACTGCTTCACTGAAATGCATTGTGAACGTTTTAAAAAAAATGATCTTCAATGCATTTCGTTTTCGTTTGCGACTGTTGTCAATGTTTTCAAATGCATGATCTGTAATGCATTCGAACGTTTCCAAAATGCGTTGAAATGAAAAAACGGTTCAACGGAGTTTTCGTTAAGCCTGGTTTTCCCAAATAGGGTCACATTTAATGATTTTTTTATAACAATAAACATATACCATTTTGTTGCTAGATTTCTCAGTTCTCACAGATCTCCTCTTTTCTTTTATCCATATGTCTGATTCTCTTAATTTAAAGCTGTCACGCTCTGTAAATGCTAGCCTTTTGAGGGTTTTCAGTGGAACCCCAAGACAAACCATCAAGTCGCATATGTGAACATTGGGACTTAATCTAGTGCGATGTCCCACTATCGTCCTTCATATTGCCAGAAAGGATAGGCCAGGACTGTGTAATTACTACAACGTCATTTCACTTATACCTAAGCGAGACGTCTTTGTCTTACAAGCTTACCACCAATCGCACGTACAAAACGAAAGTAGGTGTCTTAACCTACACATAACACCCAGCTTAATAGACTTACATTGCTGGCCTGTCTAATACCGTATTAGTTATAAAATTTTATTGTTAGTATATAAGGCTATCAATGGACTTTCACCAAGTTATATATCCAATTTGTTCAGTTTTTGCAGCAGCTCCTACTCTTTGCGTTCTTGCTTGAATAAGTTACTTCAAGTCCCGAGGTCTAAGCTAAAGTCTTATGGTGATCAAAGATTTTCTATATTGCAGGACCTAGATTATGGAACAGCATTCCCGCATCTTTAAGGAATACCGATTCCTTGGATTCTTTTAAAAAACACTTAAAGACATATTTATTTCACCAAGCTTTTTCTTAAGTTATAAATAGATTTTTACTCATTTTTCATACTTAGGTATGCAGTTGTTAGATTTTTTAGAGTTTTAATACATTTTTTTGAAAAGCGCCTAGAACAGTTACTGATATAAACCCTATATAAATAAAGTTTATTATTTGTGATTATCATTATTATCTCAGTCAAAGGGCAAAGAACCAGTCACTTGCACTGCCTATCCGTGATGCAACCAGTACAAATCTGCCTATGAAACAAAATTTATCTGCCTTCTCCCACGGTTGGAAAACAAGCCCACACCTGCTACTGACACCATGAATAGATGTAAGTCTTTCCTTGGGACAACGGCTGCTCAGATTCTGTGGTGTTCTGAAAGCGCCTGTGCGAGTAAGTCGGCCAATTGGTGATTAAAAGAAAGGGACGAAGAATTGGAAGAACAAGAAGATGAACAGCAATGATGACAACAAGGGCAAGAAGAAGAAGAAGCAGAAGAAGATGAAAACTAAGAGGAAGATGAAGAAGAAGATGAAGGAGATGGAGAAGGAAAAGAGAAGAGAACAAGAAGAAACACAGAGGAGAGAATGTGAGTTTTGACCCAGGCGAATCATGCGCCAACGTGAGGCTAGAGGAGGTAGAAAATATCTTAGAAAGCTGAGGACTAGATTGCGTGCCATTTTAAAGTGTCATGAGGGAAATCAAAGCGATGTAAACCTTTTATACTAGCGAGTTCAATCACAAGGGACGCCCTGGCAAAATGACAATGACGATGTGGCTAAAACTCATCAAACACCTAGTCACTTTCCTGAGTTTCTGAGTGAGTAAGTTGGAGATGACGCCCTCGTTAGCCCTGGAAAAAGACCTGCTGCTAGTAGAGTCTTTCATTAGCCACCTGCGTATGGACAGGTGAATGCAAAATTCCATTGCCACCTGCTATATTCAATCTTTGGTGACCACTTCAAAATTCCTTGGCGCAGACCAAAGGTATGGGGATTCGCGCGTTGAGACAGCAATGGGACATAGCAAAAGCCTTCACAATGTAGTAGTTGTCTCAGACAACAACCTGGTCTGGATGGTTGAAATGGGCTACAAAACCGCCGCAAAATATGGCCTAAATGTTGTGCAGTTTAATCAAGAGTTTGATTTCCTGACACATCACCTCAGGGAATAAAGGACAAGGTCGAGACCAAGACTGCTTTGCAGAGAGAGCAGTCACGACCACTTTGTGAACAAACGAGGCATGCCTTTTCGATCACCAAGCACATATCGACCATTTCTAAGAGAAACTTGGGCATGCCCTGCGGGATAAATGAAATGAGACATGCCCTGGTTGAGCACTTTCAATCTTCAACTGAAAGTTCTGACGCGAGACTTGCTGAATCTCTTGCGCGTCTTTGCAAACACACTCTGAGAACCCAAATATGTATTTACGATAGCTGAACACATCAGGAGCACACGTCACAAGCAATATGCTACCTTGTTAAGTAAGCCTTGAATTCTATTTTAGAGGAGCCTCCAACTACCTCAGGAGCAACCTCTTCCGATAACGAACAGGAAGTAGATTCAGATGATTTGCCATCCCCCAGAGAACTATGCGCGCTTATTCCTTCTGATGTGAACACAGGGCACCAAGACACTTTTTTAGCCAAGGTACTGAAGTACACCCATGACGGAAGAGACGCTCAGTTGGCCTGGCTTCGAGAATTAGATACATGCCCAAATTATTACGAATTTTAAGCGGGGATGGATGTTTCACATGAAAAAAACCAGCTATCCTATCAACATTCACTTCCATCGACTTGAAGGGTTGTACGAGCTTAGGACACCCAACAGACCCATCTTTATGGTTGTTTGGAAATCATCCACTCAACCGTAGGCATCTCAGAGCCATCGTGGAAAGGCAAGGTGATCAAGTTTTTGACTCCTTTTGAATGTCATGGATTGAACAAACCGTCAAACGATTGGCAAACAAATATGTAGATAAAAAAATTATTGAAAACAAGAAACTTTAAGCAAGGCCCGTGACTTGCTCACGCCTTACTGTCTGAAGTCTGAAATTGTCAAGCAAATGCAGACTGTGAGAACTGCGCAATCATGATCTTTTTTCTTCTTCTCTTTTGAATCGTGCTATAACTGCAAAATAATTGCAGACCAAAGGCTAGGCTTTCCACTGCCGTGGTAAGACTGCTGGTGCGCATGCCTAACGTTGTCTGTCTTCAG